CTTGATTTGTGGCAAGAGGGAAATTGCACTCACGGCTACCTGGGTGGCGAGCACATCTGACCGACTCTCTCCGATCAACATCATGGGGGCAGCCTTTATTTGCACGAGGCTGGCCAGGAGCGGGGGAAAGCGCACGGGTTCCTTTGAATATGTCCAAACACAGTTATCGGTGGGGAAATGCGTCCGAGATGCTGCTCCGTTGTTTGCAAGGAAACCAGAGAGGCTTCAGGCCCTGGCTGAGAGCGCAACCTGTTATCCCCCAGAAGCGAGAGGACCGAGACCATTTCGTGCATGTGAGGAGAGAGTGCCTGCGCCAATGCTTTGTTTCCAACCGGTTGGCAAATAAATGATCCTCGGGTTGCTTGCACGCTGCTTAATGGGAAAGGCGCTCCCTGGAAAGTCAAGATAAGCAGGATCAACAAATCTGGCCGAAATCTGGAGGGAGAAAAGCGGCGGTGTTCGGTGCTGGTGATGCGATGGGGTTGGGTTCAAGAGGAAGAGTTGGGGCTCGCTTGTGGGTTCAGGAGGTTCTGCCTCTGCCACGACCGCCTCTCGCCTCCGATCTGCGTCCAGACTCTCGTTGGAGAGCTGGTTCTGAACAGTATCCCGAAGACCTGGGTTCAAATCTCACTTCTGCCCCGATGTCGTCATCAGATGACCTGGCTATGTGATGTTTCTGGATTCACAGATCACATTTCAGCCACGACGGATTCCTTAGGCAAGCCACTCCATCTGCGAAATGGGCATAATAAATAGTAGTCTAATTTATATAGGTCAAATGTCTGTCTGTATGGACTTTGCGCGCCACAGGGGCTTTACAGGAAGAGCCGCGGGTGCGGCAGAGGTTAAATCCAGCGTTGCTCTTAGGTTGGGAGACCGAGGTTCACATCTCCGCCATCTTCCTGGTTGACCTTGGACCAGCCCAGTTGCTGCCTCTCCACCGCACCTACTTTGAAGCGTTTGTACGATTATAAGAGCACGATCCCACGCCTGTCTAATCTGAGTCCCAGTCAGTGAAGTCAAAGGAGCTTACTCCAAGGAAAGTGGGTATAGGATTAGAACTAAAAGGGGGCATATATACCATCCTGAACTCTTTGGAGGAAGTGGAGTAGAAGAAAAATCAGGTAGATAGGTGATGATTTTCTAAGTATTATACGCATTTGGGAACACCCTACTAAATTCAGTGGAATATTTTAGGCTGCATCGGGCTAGCTGAGAATTTCTGCGGTAACCGCAGTGAATAAATTGCAGTCCAGAGACACCATATGACCTACGGGTTTATTTAGTTATGTGCACACTTTTTAGTATAGTTTTCTGCAGTCTCTCGGACATAAGATCATCTCTCTGCGAACCGCTCTGAAAACACAAAAGTGAAGGGCAATATAAATCTTGTAAACAAACTTCCATTATAAGTGGGGTTATTGGTTTGTTCTTGTTTTTATTAGGTATTTTGTGTTCTCATTTTGTATTTTTAGGTTGTGAACTGCCCTGTGATCTTCGGTTGACGCTATGCAAATTTAATAAAATAAAATAAAAAAATAAAATAAAATAAAATTCATTTTCTTTCGACTCCGCCTTTTCCCTAGCCAAATTGCTTTATTTTAATTATTGCTAATTCATATGCCGTATTTTTTTTTTTTTGGTGGGACTAAACTTTCATTAGCTCGCTCGTATCCACCCGTGGCCAATCCTGGGGTCGGAGGCAGGAAGACTCTCACCTGCGCCTGCACAGCCCACCTCCCCCGCTACGCTGCTCAGCTCAGGTGAGGCAGGAGTGATCGCTCCCTTCCCGTCTCACAAAATGGCCCATCTAAAGCTTTGCACCGGGATCCCAAGCTAGGCGGAGAGATTTTAAATCCTTAGAAGTGTACCTACCTTAATGTTTTCTGCAGCTTCCAAAATGGGTAGGGTCTTGGAGAGAAACAGAAAATGTCATTTGGGGGGGGGGCACATCAAGCTACAGACTCCGAGATCCAGCCACTCCTGATTTACAGGGTCTCACCCCTATATGCCCAAAACATCCGGTTGGGAACTCAGCGGGGGTTGTTTCTTGCGTAATAGGCGCAAAAAGGACGGCGCTCCGAATTTGGAAGGCTCGCCGTGATTAATGGAAATTGATTTGAATGGGTTCCAAAATCTGAAAAGGCACGAAAATTTCGCACAGAAAACAAGCTTGGAGAAATGCAAGCCACTTCACGCGTCTAGACAGAAGTATGGAGAGCGAGAGGCAAAGTAAAGGCAAGATTCTGGCTTCTCTGACCCAGAACCTTCGAGCCTCCAACCCTTCTAGATCTTAATTCTTCATATACATACTGGGAAGATCAGTCCTTCCTATTATATATGGAATTGCGCCTGTGAAGCTTCCCGCTGGCTGAGCCGCTGAGGTGGCTCGGAATGTTCACCAACATTCCAAGTGCGGGGAACAAAACTAACGACATTGGCAAACCATAAACTATGAGTGGAGGGGAAATTCTCAGCTTAGCTGGATCTGAAATATCACAGGACAGGAGTTTTATGGGATAGGGTAGGGACTGGCAAGAGATCTCAGGAGGTAAGGAAACTAAAGACAGCGAGCGCAGGAGCTGAAGGAGCAGGTCATACCAGGCAGTCAGGCTGCAGTCCTAACCACAATTACTCTCGAGTCAGCCCCACTGCACACAGGGGGACTCATTTCCAAGTAAGCATGCAGAGGATTGCATTGTAAGAAACTGATAAATAAGGTGGCGGCTTGAGGGGGCGAGTCGAAGAGGGCAAGGGGCTCTGAAATGTACATATTGAACTGAAGCGAGGCGTTTTGGAGCTTCCACCATCCTATTTCCTTGAATTGGAGCTTGTACTTGCACGTGTATGTGTGTTTTGAGCGACGGGGTTTAGGAATAGCCGGGGAAACGGAAGATCCCGCGCCCTCTGTACAGTAACCATTTGGTTAAGGCGCGCAGAAGCTGTTTAAATCCACAATACCCCCCTCCCGCCCCCCACACCCCAAAAAAGGTCTCCCTCCCTCCTCCTCGTAGCCGAGTAAAGGCGCTGTTAACCATTTTGCCCGCAAGTCCGATCCTGACATAAACATTGGATTTCATCTCCGCTTTGACAGGGATCCTGCGGGCAGCCGAGAGCAAAGGCGGGCAGGTCTTCACTTCTCCGGAGCTGAATGCGCCAGTGCCCTCCTATTGTTTAGAGCATAATGTCTGCGGTATTCGTTGGCTTAACAAAAAGCCAAGGCTGCGTTTCATCTTTCTTTTGTCCAAGCCGGAGAGAAGGTGTTTAATTTTGGAAGGATGGCGAGGGCGAAGGAAACGACCAACATCTATTATTATTTATTATTATTATTATTATTATTATTATTATTAGGTGCGTGGATAGTTTTTCACTAAACATAGAGAGACAGGCAAAGCCGGCGAGGGGAGATTTTAGGATCTGTAGCTACAAAGCTGCCCTGCTCCGAAACTAGCTGTGACATCTGGTTGGCCACCATCGCGAGAGACAACAGTGAGCTAAATAGACCATTGTTGTTACCCAGCAAGCTCATCCTTTTGCTTCAGAAGGATTAGATGCGAAATCCCGGTCATCCGCAACTCCATTATCAGGTTTAAAACAAACAACCTTTTTTTAAAAAACACAACCTCTGCGCATCCCTTTTTGCAAGGAGAAGATCCTTTTTTACACTGTCGGCTATCTTAATGGAGAAATCTAAACACTGAGAAAAGCGAGAAGCATCAGTTTCCCCCTTAAAATAGAAGGGGAAGTTGAGGCCACCCGCCTCCACGAGAGGAAAAACAGTGAGAGTCTTCCTCGTCCAGGTTAGCAGTCGGATCTGGGGCTGCATTACCTGACAAATGTCATTGAGAACACACCTGGGTATCAAGGTGAAGCGGAAGGCAACTTCCAAGCTAGCGAGCTTTCTGCCGACCTTCATGCAAGTGAAAGGGGGGTGGGGAGTGTATCAATGATGAGAACTGCACGGCCGGTGCTAAAATAGCCACTGGGAAAGTGCCCCACTGAAATCAGTGGGAAATACTGTCTAAGGATCAGTTGCCAAGTTAATCTGCTGCAGCCAGAATAAAAGGGTGTGTGTGTGTGTCGTGTCACCTTAAAGGCCAACTGATTTATTGTAGCCTTAGTTTCCGTGAACAAGACTCCACTTCATCAGAAGCGTAACGTGTAAATCTGAACTTGCAATCAATTGTTTTCCATTTTCAGGGTAGTCGTGCATCTGGTAGAGCGGGCTGTGGTCATCATATGACTGTGGTCGTAATAAATATGTTGGTCTTTAAGATGAAACAGCGCTCTTTGCTGATTTTGCTAATGGAACAGCGCATTGCAAAGCACGTTCACTTGGAAGAAAGTACCAGGCGTTTAAAGCGGTTTCTTCCTAATGCTTAGGATTGGAGCCAATTTGGGCTCCAGGGTTTAATTTGTTTACAGTGCTGCAAATAACCGTCTTGTGCATCCGGTTAAGAGTCTATTGTTCCCGGAGAGACAAACAGCCATTCTTTCCCATTACTTGCGAGGAGGAGTCTGGATTTTGTGCAATATTTACAGCAAAGTCCTAACCACGTCCGCTCATAAATATCGAGTTCGATGGGGCTCATTCCTAGGTAAGTGGGGTTAGGTTTGCAGCCTTAGGGGGAGAGAAGAAACCCTCTTGGCGCATCGCTTTTATAGCAGAGGCCCTGCCACGGTTGCATTTCCCTTTGGGGGGAGGAATGGAGAGCCCCTAGGTATATGTGTGTGAACGAAGAGAGACAGACTCTGTAAAACACAGACGTAAACAAAGAATTGCCATGGTCGAGTCTCTCCTAAATATGATGCGCGTATCATTGTTCTGGTTCTTAACATAAAAAAGGAGTCTCGCGGCATCTTAAAGATGAATAGGTTTATAGTGGGGCGAGCTATCCTGATCTGGAGTCCTGTGTATCTCATTAGGGTGTGCTCCCTAGTCCACGAAGATTTCTCCCCCCCCAAAAAAATAATAATTAAAAATCCGTTCATCTTGTGCCTATTTTTTATTACGGTATGTTCCTTTTGCTGCAATGGGCTGACAGATATTCCCCACCGCACTCCCCGCATGGATTCTTTCCCTCGGGATTATCCATTTCCTCGCTTTCTCCTAGTGCAGGAGAAATGCAGCAGCGCTGAAACGCTCGTCCACACGCCCTTTGCTAGGGATCCTCCAGACACAGGAACACCGTGCCTAAAGGAAGGAGTTTTTCAGTTGCTTTCCAAGCAGTCTCTCCCCCGGGGAGTTAAAGATCAGGGGTGTCGCGGCTGTCTCGCGCCCCATCGCCACCGCCCTACACCCCCAATAAGCCGCTAGATGTGAGCGAAAGCGCTTAGCGAGGATGCCGTCGGACCTCTCCCCTTCCTGCGCGCATTTCTTTGAAAGTGCGCGCCAGGAGGGGATGTGCGAACGAGCCCCACTAATCTGTTTTTTCCTCCGAGGTGCTTAAGCTCAGCAGAGGTCGGCTCTTAGTGGTTTTTTTAAAATAACACCTCCTAGAAACAATGACGGATTTTCAGTCCAACACACCTGCGTCCCCCCCACCTCTCGGCTCAAGTGCCGTCTGGTATGCAGCCGGGAGAGGGATGTTCCCGCAGTGGGCGACGCGCTTAGTTTTGCTCGCATCCGGGAGCCATGCGGAACTCGCGTCCCGTTGAAGCCTGAGCAGCAAACCTGCCGATCGCTTGGGATGGCCGGGCATCGGGTCCTCCTTCCGTCCAGCAGCTGCGTCTCAAAAAAACAGGTGTGCGCGCTTGAGGTTGTGGCCGGTCAACAGGAGGCGCTGTGACTTCGCCCAGAGTTGTACCTTCGGTCTCAACAGTCACACACAAATCTCTCATCGACCTCTGAGCAGAGAATTCACAACCACCACAAAGTGGGGTCCGGGCATCCTTCCTTTGCTGGTGCTTTCTGCTTAAGGTTTGCAAGCGGACAACTTAAAAAAAAATATATTTAAACTTTATTGCACAAAACCAAGCTTTAAGTTCAGGTTTGAGTTGGGAACTTTTTGTACGCTGTTCGAAAGTGTTCCAATCAAAATAAGAATAAATAATAAAAATTAGTATTAATAGTAGTAGTAACAAAACAACAGCTATTTTATTTCCCTATCTCTGTTCTGGTGTAATATATTTCTGGAGCTTTAAAGGGATGAGGAACTACGCACTTTTGGTCAATTAATGGAAAGGGGGTTTCTCTGGTCCTTTAAGCTATGCACACGCGCGCGCCCACACACACGGCATTTATTTAATGATTTATTTATTTTGCTTTCAGTTAAGCTCTACCTTGAAATCCATAGCGTTTACTTCCACATATGCGTGTTTCAGGATCCGGTTGCTAGAAGGAAGTTCAAAGAGAGCTGCCACCTCATCCTATACCCACCTGAGGGTGGTTGTCGTTGTTTTTTTAAGGGCGGGAGCGTGGAAGCAAGCAATGCTGCAATCCTAAAGACTGGAAGTCACACTCATTGAAATCTGTGAGAATTGTTACCGATGGTGAAACTGAAAAGGTGTCCAGAGTTTCAGCTGTGTAGCGGTACTTTGATCCTAAATGGAGTGGGCTCCACCCTGCCAAAACCACCCCCGGTCCCCATAAATGAACGAGACTCATAAATGCTTCACTGAAATGAATGGGGCTTTAAGCAACTGCATCATGGTACCCATTCATCGCAATGGGAGCTATTTAGGATCGGAGAAGTCCATCATCAGCCTGGCAGGCAGGAGCGTCTCTTCCCGCACCCCTGGCCCTCTTTTTCTCCAAGACCCAAGAAAAGGTTATGTCTTCTGTAGCAATTCATCCCCTATGTATTGTATTTCAATGCGTCTTTAATTTACAGTGTGATCATATTCAAACGCAGTTTGTCCTTTCGTGCTTTTATCTTTTATTTCCTTAATGGCACATTTTCATCCCTTGTTCTCGCCTGCTGATTTGAGACATTTGTTTGTTTCAAGGATTTGACTTAATTCCGTTGCCAGATTTTAGGCGGCTGCGGCCAGAGAAAGGACAAAGAGAGAGAGAGAGAGAGAGAGAGAGAGAGGGATGAGAGAGGCCGCCTTTTGTCGACAGGTTAAACCATACGTCTTACACCAAGGACGTTACCTTAAAAAAAAATTATTATTTTTTACAAAACCGTGTTATTTGCTTACTTTAAATGGTTCAACGTAAATGGAACAGCAAACAGATGCCATTGAAAACTATTATCTGTGTATCGCTTTGCTGTGTCCCAAGAACCACGTAAAAACGAAAAACTGGGTGCACAACCCGTGTAAACCGAAACGCTTGTTCCGGATGTAAGATTCCTTCAGCGAAATCAATAGAAAGAAACGATCTGAAATTAAGTCGAGGCGGCTGCGATTTTGTAAGGGAATAAAGTTGTGGCTTAACCAGCTCTGGCGTAGTCAATAGGAACTTGAATTCCTCCTTACGCGTGTGTGGGGACTGTGGTCCATACATTCATTCAGGGCAAGGCTGCGCCATCATTTATAGCAGTTGAGATTGCTTCCTTGCCATTGATGTTCAAACTCTTAGGAACAGCATTTCGGCACCGCCACCATTTAAAAGCAAGCAAGCAAGCAAGCAAGCAAGCAAGCAAGCAAGCAAGCAAGCAAGCACGCACACACACACACACACACACACACAACCCTGATGCGATCATGTTTTCCCAACCCAAAAAAAGGAAAAGGAGCCACATTCCACTTAGAGTCGGCCAGGGCAAAATGCTAGAATTTGAAAGCATATTTTATTCCATCGGTTGCATTGGAACTAAATCGCCTTTTCAGCCTCATCCTACTCAGTAAGGCCAATTGACTTTACTGGGATCTGCTCTCGAGGTGCTATATAACGTTCCTCGTAAGGGACACTTACCATGTTCTCAGAGAAAGACTTGCGCCCCCGTAGGATTGCAGGCACTGGCCCTAATACTTAACATTATTTGGAATAGAGGAAAGGCTGAGAAGCCTGGGTCTCGGTTTAAGCAGCGATCCCGTGCACTAAACCGGCAACAAGCCCCACAGAACATAGCGGAATATAGGATCGCTCTATAAATAGAAAGGAGGGTGAACCTAGAGGACGTGTGTTCGACCGGTGTCCCACTGCTATCGATGGGCAAAGTGGTCCATAACTGGACCCACGCCCCACTGACTTCAACGGGAACGAAGTTCAATTAACTAAGTCTAGATCCAAGCCATGGAAAATCTCTCCCACCGTGCCCACCCGCCTTGTCCAGAGCCCCTGAAACAAATTTCTGGACCGATTTGCTTGTTTCTACGAAGTGGTTCCCCATCCTCCGCGGCCGGCCACCAACGTTTGGGAGCAATGAAGACAGCACCCTGTAAAGGGAACCTCAGCCCATTTTCTCGGAAGCAGCCCTGTTCGAGTTAATGGCCGAGTGGGATCTGCGGAGGATCGCCTAACACAAAAGCAGGGGATACCGGCAGATTTACTGCGAAGCAAGGCCCCTCTGCCTTGGTGCCACGCAGCCCTAGGGGCGTGGATCGGGGCCTCCGTCCCGGGAAAGGGGAGCCCCTGCTCTTTTTCCGCCGGGGACCCTTCTGCGGGGACGCTGGCCAGCCACCCACCCATCCAGCCAGGCCAGGGGCGCGGGGCGCCAGCCAGGGAGGGATGGCGGGCGCGCAGGCTGGCTGGCCGCGAAGCTGCTCGGCGTGACTCACCTGGGCCGCTTGCCAAGCCGAGCCGCCTGGCCGACCTCGCTATTCATTGGGGCCGCGCGCGTCACGCGGAGTGACTCATTCACACGGAGGCTCGGGGCTGCTGGACGGCGCGGGGACGGGGCCAAAAAGGAGCGGGGAAAGCCCGTGCGCAATGAAGGCGAAACTGCCCCCAGGAGCTGCCTGGGGAGATGGTCAGGCAGACGGGGATCTGTGGGAGGGGGGCAAAGAGGCACACATGGGGTACATCCTGTTGCCCGCCCCCCCAACCCCAGAAGCGGCCACCAAGTGAAAGGGGTCGCCTCTGCTACCCACCCCCTCGAGCAAAGCCAGCCAGCCCTAGGCGCAGGTTGCTCTTCCCAATCCAAGCAGAGAGGGGGCTGCGCTCGCCTCTCTCTTGGCATCCCCCCTCGCCCCTCCCCTTCTCCACTGGAGGGAGGGGGGTTGGAGGAAAGGAGGGGGGCAGTATTTTCCCGTTTCCCTCCTCCCTTCACGGGTCCCCACTTCTGTCTCTCTCTCCCCCCCCCAAACAGCACGTCGGTGCGCTTAAGCCAATTACACCGCTTTGCGCCTAAAGTGCCGCCCCGGGGGAGTTGCGCGCGGCCTTGTTTGCAGGTGCATCTCCGGCTTTGTAGGTGCGAACGTCTTTGTGCGGGCGGACAAATGGGGAAATGGGGAGAGGAGGAGGAGGAGGAGGAGGAGGAGGGGAAGGAGGTGGAGAAGGAGGAGGAGGAGGAGGTGGGCGCTGCTGCTGCTGCTCCTGCTCCTGCTGCCGCCGCCGCTGGTGCGACGACGTAAGATCCACCTCAGCTCAACTCCCCTCGCATCCCAGCCAGCACTTCCTCACTTCCTCGAGTGGCTGTCCGCCGCACACCGCTTGCTGCTGCCTCTGCCGCCGCCGCCTCCTCCTCCGCCGCCGGAGGGCTTGATCGAGCCGCAGCTCGGCTTCCCCCGCTCCGGGACTGCGGGCGGGGGGCTCCCCGGACCCGCCACTCGCCGGGAGGGGCTGGATGGTTACCCCGGGCAGGCTGGTTCCAGGATGTTAGGGACCGTGAAAATGGAAGGGCACGAGACGAGCGATTGGAACAGCTACTACGCCGACACGCAGGAGGTGAGCCGAGCGGGGTGCAGGGAGGGCTTGGAAAAGGGGCTCCGTCCGCCCCCTCGAGGTGTGAGAGAGAGGGGGAGCCAGGGTCCGCTCCCAGAACCCGACGAAGCCCAGGTCTGCCTCCCTCGACCTTCCAGCTGCCCGGGAACCCGGGAAGGAAGGCGCCAAAGAGAAACTATAGAGGGCAGCGGGGAGATCCCCTGGCCGTCGAGTGGACGGAAAACGGGAATCCTTGGTTTCATTCTAGGGTCTCGCCTTGGAGACCTACGGGCGCCCCTCCAACGCCTCTTGATTCTGAGTTAGGGCCTTGATGTGTGGGACAGGGGGTGGGGTTGTTTGAGGCAAAGACCCCTTCTAACCCTCCCGTCGGGGAAAGCTTTCTGCCTCATCGGCCGCCTTCTCTCTCCCTCCCACCCCTCACTTGGGCTGCTATTGCACTCTGCTGAGCATAACAACCGTTCGTGTGTACTTTGCAACACGCTTCTTTCAAGGCGGCGGCGGCGGAATAAAAACTGAAACGGGAGCAATTCTCCCCGCGACCGGCGGGTGGCGCTGCGGAGAATAGGATCTCTGGAGCCTGCGACCAGGAACCGGGCTCTGTTTTTTGCATTGTCCATTCATATCCACGTTCCTGATTTAACAATATGCTCCAAAGAACTTCCAAGAAAAGATCAAAGACGCGCAAACGAACAATAACGGGTGGAGGAGCATGTAAAACCCCGATGGGGCGGAGGGTGGGAGGGAGAGAGAGATGAATGTTGCCCTCTTAACTGAATAGGGAGTGAAAGGCGGAAAAATACCCCCCAAAAATGGCTTCAGCTGCGAACTGAGCCTTACAGAACGTGAAAGGGAAAGTGACAAGATGATACGAACGAAAATCAAAGTGGGGGCGGGGAGGGAGAGGCACCCAAAATCAAGCGGACCTGACCTGACGGCGTGTGTGCAAAAAAGCAGATATTGCTCAACATTGCTTTCCTCCCCAATGTCCCGGGTTCATATGCGCTGCCTGCTGAACATATGTGTTTGTGTAGGCTGTCGTATTCCGGATTCTTATTTAATACTGAAGGGTCAACAGAGGCCAAGGAAGGGGTTTAGATTAAATGTATGCCTCTTCCCAGCGCCATAGGCACTCCGGAGGGGGGGGACCCTAAAATGCCGCTAGTATGCTAATGTGGGGCCCTTCATTGGTAAGCATAATTCATCCTTCTCCGCGCCAGATTTCCCTCTCTCTCTCAATTTGATTTTCCAGTGTTCTATTGACAATTTTACATCCAGTTTTATTTATCGCTCACCCGACCGCACACATTATTTTCCCATCCAGTCTTGCTCCGTGAAGGATACTTGATTTTTTTTGTTTGTTTTTAAAAAAACCTATTTGTTTTATAAATCATAGCACGCCAGGCAAGGGGGGAAATGATTCATTTATGGAGAAATAGTTTTATATAGAATATAATGCTTATATAGAAATTATATTCTCCATCAGTTATTCTTAGTCACACTGCATAATCTTAGGATTGTTTACTAAAAAAGAAAAAAAGTCAGAAGTAGGGGAACCGTCTGTGTATCACCCACAATATCACAACCACCTCTACAATATGCAAACGCTGTCGCAGAGATATTCTGCAAGAAATCTCAGGCATATTATAAATCTCTTAGCTTTTAGGAATTTGGGATTCTATATTAGAGAACCGGGACTATACCTACTGAACGTTTAAAACACAAGCAAACTAGGAAGCGAACCTCTGGGATGCCCTTTCCCGGATTCAAGTCCAGCTAATAGCATGCATTTGCTGCAGTGCAATTGTTTTAGTAATTATATTTTTAAAAAATTAAGCGGGGGTTCGCTTTCTCAGTCTATTTTTTCCCCAGACTGATTTATTTTATTATTCTTTGGACTGTTCTTTTATTCCAGACCGTTTTGTTATTTGGGACTCAACGTGGGGAAACTGGCTGAATCTTAATTTAGACGGTCGAAAGGTTTGATGAAGCTTCGGTTGACTATAAACCTCGGGGAAATAGATGGGCGGAGGGAAGCTACCTTTCGCCCCCCCACCTCCAAGAAAAGGCTGTGTTGTTTTGGGCCCAAAAGGTGCAGTTGTTCATTTTGTAGAAAACTTCCCGGCGGGCCAGGAATGCGGGGGCAGCCAGCACAGAACAGGAGAGAGAGAGAGAAGGGGGAAGCGGGGTTTGTGTCAAAGAGGCCGCAAAGTTTGTTTTTCCCACCAGCCTCTCTCTGAGACTTTGGGAAGCTTTGGGGAAGGAGGCCGAGGAGGAGCCACGACCTCGGAGAGCTCCATTTCGCCGCCTTGCAACAAGGCGCGGGGATTTCGACTCGGCCTCCTTCGGGAAAGGCACCTGCCTCGGCGGCCTAGCCCAGTGGCAGACCCGCCACCCGCTTGGGGCAGCGCTGCAAGCCGTCGGGTTTCCCTCCTTCCCTTGCTAGGGATGCGCTTTCCTGTGGCGGCGAGGCTGGCGATCTTCTAATCTTCTAATGGCGGCTTCTAATCGCCGACCTTTCTCCTCCCCCGCTGTAATTCTTAAGTGTATTTGATTCTCACTGGTGTTTCCCTCTATTTTTTAAAAAATGAAATAATAGTGCACGACCTGGCCTTGGAAAAGGGGGATCTCTGAAGGAAGCGCCGGGCTTCCTCAGATCCTACTTTAGACGCCCGCGGCAAGGATGTGGAGTGGCTCGTCTCAGCCGGCGCTTTGCCCTGCCAGGACCCGGGAGGGTCTGTGGGTGTCTGATCCTTTGGGCCGACAGGTTCTTCCCCCGCGTGTCCCCGAGTTCTGGTTTGTTGCGCGTAATTTGGCACCCGCAGCCACCCACTCGCGCGGCCGGGATCTTTGCTTCCTAAGAACAGGGCCTCGTCTTAACAATGCAGGCCGCATCCAAAGATCTCCACAACTCTTGTTTTTACTTTCTGTGGAGATAAAGGCGCTACAGCAGTTTGTGGTTGATCCTCCGCACTCTTTACTTTGAAGGAAGGAAAACGTTTTAACAGGATGCGCGCCAAGCTGCGACGCCTTCGGTGCAAATCGGGACCTTTTACGGATACGCCTTGGTTCTCCTATAAAGTTAGATCGAGTAGATTCATAATGTCGCTGTCCTTCAAATGCAAAACCTTAAGAGAGAGACCTCTCCCCCATTTCCTTCTCACACAACCCCCCTCCCCCCCCAAAAAAACCTTGATCCATCCAGGGCCAATATGTTTCTAGTTTGGAGGATCAACCTGGACACGCTCACTGCCCCTTTAGCGAACTCTGTGATAAATCGCAGACTAGAGACTAGGATACGGTTAGGAAGGCGCCGCTTTGAGTGTAGTTTGTGAGCGATAGTCGAGATCCTAATCCTCGCCGGCTGGTTGCGTGAGAAAGGAATCTTGCGAGAGCAGCTGGGAATTCACCAAGGTGACCAATAAAGGCAAAGGTCGGAAGGGACTGGGGCAGCCGCTGGGGCCACGGAGGGAAGGGAGGTTAGGAAGGCAGGCAGGTGCGTTCCGGCTTCTCGCCTCCTTTCGGCCGTCTAAATTAAGATTCAGCCACTTCCCCCCACGTCTAACCAGTGTCTCCCTCCGCAGGCCTACTCGACGGTGCCCGTGGGCAACATGAACTCTGGCCTGGGCTCCATGAACTCCATGAACACCTACATGAGCATGAACGCCATGACCACCAGCGGCAACATGACGTCGGGCTCCTTCAACGTGTCCTACGCCAACCCCAGCCTGGGCGCGGGCCTGAGCCCCGGGGCGTCGGGGGGCGCCATGAACAGCATGTCGGCCATGGGCTCGGCGCTCAGCCCCGGCGGCATGAACGCGATGGGCAGCCCGCAGGCCTCTCTGAACGGGCTGGGCGCCTACGGGGCCATGGGCCCTCCGTGCATGAGCCCCATGGGCTACGCCGCGCCGTCGCTGAGCCGCGGCGGGCGCGACGCCAAGAGCTTCAAGCGCAGCTACCCGCACGCCAAGCCGCCCTACTCGTACATCTCGCTCATCACCATGGCCATCCAGCAGGCGCCCAGCAAGATGCTCACGCTGAGCGAGATCTACCAGTGGATCATGGACCTCTTCCCCTACTACCGCCAGAACCAGCAGCGCTGGCAGAACTCCATCCGCCACTCGCTCTCCTTCAACGACTGCTTCGTCAAGGTGGCGCGCTCGCCCGACAAGCCCGGCAAGGGCTCCTACTGGACGCTGCACCCGGACTCCGGCAACATGTTCGAGAACGGCTGCTACCTGCGCCGCCAGAAGCGCTTCAAGTGCGACAAGCAGCCCGGAGGAGGCAAAGCGGGACAAGGTGCCGTCGGGGGAGGAGGTGGTGGTGGCAACGGCAGCGAAGGCAGGAAAGACCCCGGAGGAGGAGGAGGAGGTTCGCCTTTGCACCGAGGCGCCAAAGGTGGCCAGCTAGAGTCCGCCCCTTCGAATCCCGGCTCGGGCAGCCCGCAAGGCCTGGACCACAGCGGGAGCGGAGCGGAGCTGAAGCCGTCGGTGGCCTCTTCCGCCGCAGCTGCGGCGGCGGCTGCTGCTGCTGCTGCCGCGGCAGCGGTGGCAGCGGCCTCCGTGCCCCCCGGGCCGAGCCTGGCCTCTCTGGGTCACCCGGGCCACTCTCTGGGTCACCACGAGTCTCAGCTGCACCTCAAGGGCGACCCGCACTATTCCTTCAACCACCCGTTCTCCATCAACAACCTCATGTCCTCCTCGGAACAGCAGCACAAGCTGGACTTCAAGGCTTACGAGCAAGCGCTGCAATATTCCTCCTACGGGGCCGGGCTGCCGGGAGGGCTGCCTCTGGGCAGCGCATCCATGGGCGGCCGGGGAGGCATTGAGCCCTCGGCCCTGGAGCCGTCCTACTACCAAGGTGTGTATTCCAGACCCGTCCTAAATACGTCTTAGCTGGCAGGGACTCGAGGGCGCACCAAGCAGCAAGCTTCCTCCCCAGCAGGGCTGGTTGGTTTGGCCTCTCCCATCCTCCCCCTTCTCCTAGATCTCTCAGCCGAAACTGACGGTGCGTTTCCCCCAACACCATCCCTGCGAGGCGGGGGAAGCAAAAGGAGAAGGGGGCGGAGAGCAGAAGAAAGGACTGTTACTTTATTATTATTATTATTGTTGGTATTGTTATTATTATTGTATCCCCCCCCCAATGCATAGTGTTTATTCTATTTTGGCCTGGAAAGTCCAGCAAATCGCATCCAACTCCGCAAACAGACACTGTATATACCGCCCACCTTCCCTCGCCATGACCACGAAAGAAAGATTGATTTCCAACCTGTAAATTATTATTATTATTATTGGTGGATTTCCCCCCCCTCCGCCCCACTTTAACCTTCTTCAGTGTAATCTCATCAGATTTAGGACCTTAACCAATAAAAGCAGACCTACGAAGATGCCTTATTCTAGTGAGTCAGATCTCTCTCTGGCTGGCTTGCTCCTGCAAGGTCTCAAGACTGAGCTGTTCCAAGTTTTTCTCCCCAATCCAGCCCAGCCTTTAGACAAATAAATAAATAAAAGGCAGAATGAGGTGGAACGGGGGCCTTCTCTGCATACACAGGCCTCTCCAGATCAAGTCCCAAATGGAGAGGTTTAAGTTAAATTTAAATTAGGAAGTCCTCCAGGGACAGGCGATACAGTGCTGAATATATAAATGCGCATATATATATATATGCCAAGGGAGTCCTTGAACAGAACAGCCCCCGGTCCCACCAGAGCCTTGGGGAAAGGAAATCTCCTAACCAACCCAGAGTTGATCTGACCGGTTCGGAATGGCTCCTTTGGGAGAGATAGGTCACACGCCCATGGACCATAGAGCCTGATCCTGAACCCCCCTGCCCTAACTCTGCAAAGTGACAGGGGTCGCGGCTGGATATGGATGCAAAGTCGCAGGGGTCGCAGTCGTTTTAATTTCCCCCCTCCCTCCAAGCTGTTACTCAAGCGTCTCCTTCACCGGGAAGCGCCCTGGCCACGTGGACGGCCGGGTATTTAATCCCAGGACCCCTTCCCCGCCGCGTGCATTCTCGAACTATATCTATCCGTAACAACAAGAATTATTGTCATTCTCCTCTCCCTCCCCCGAATATTTTAAGATAGAAGGGGTTCTCTCCCTCCCTCTCCTCTTCATCAGATCAGTCTATGACCAGTCATGATTCTGCCCCTCTCGAATTTCTCGTGGCCGCTTAATTATCGCCGTTGTTAGCACGTTCATCCAGTGTTAATGCACTTTCCACAGGTTTTTTTTACACACGATGTTTTAGCCTAGCCAGACGGGTTGCTTCCCTTCCTCCTCCTCCCCCCCCTCAACTTCCCCTCCCTGTTCGCTTTCACGACGTCCTTAATTTATTTGCACGGTTTTATTACTTTCTTTCTTTCTTTACAGCTTGAAAGTGCTTTTAAATGACGGTTTTAAAAAAAAAATGACACACACCATTTTAAAGAAAATAAAAAAAATCTTAATTTTATAATAAATGTGATTGTAATTGAAAAAAATGTTTTGATTTTTTTAAAGGAAAAAAATGACAATATAAGCAGCGACGTATGTTTTTGGGTTTTTTGCACCCCCTTTCTCTCTCTCTCGATCATTTGCAGTTAAGGACTTTAAATAAATCGAATATTATCAACGAGAGAATTTTTTGGGTTATTTTATTTTGTTCCATTATTGGGTAGGATGGCTACGTCTATATTAATTAAATGGTCTGGAATAGAAAAAGAGATGGAGGGGGTAAACAAAAGATGTTGATTCCCCCCCCCCTTTCCTAGTTGATAAATTAGGACCTCGCAGGGGCTCCTGTGATACAGAATAGGGATGCCCACAACCCGTTCTTGCAGCACATAAAATATATTTTTAATGTACTGAATATTTAACAAGCAGCACATTCCTACAGGGCTAGGGGGAGTCTTATCACAAACTTAAACCTTCTCTCCTTAGGTATGGGAAGAAAAAAATAGAGCATCCGATCTGCCCTAGATTGCATTGAAGGAATACTGTTATTGTTTTCTCCCAGCAGAGAAATGTTGTTTTAATTTGGGAGATAGGGTTGAGGTTCTACTATTGTAATGTGAATTATCGAGTGATGAAGCCCCCCCATCCCTCTTATTTTACATTAAGAAAAGACTCAAGTTTTAATCGACCACCATAAGAACACGGGGGCGAAATGTCTGCAGCAACCCAAACAGGGATGTTGCCATTGGCTTTAGTAAGAAACGGGTTGCATTCACTTAGCGAGTTTTAAAAATATGAGTTGTGTCGGTTGCTGAAACTGGCTCTGTTGCCCTCGCTTTCTTGTTCACTGGAAGGCGGCTCTGCAGTTTGGTGGTGAATTCTAGTGTGCAGTTTCCGTTTTATTTCTCCTCTTAAGTCTTTGCTGAGGGAACGACTTGTAGCAGACGGTGCAAAAGATCGCTTCACTTTGTAGTGGAATTTAGCGCCAAGTTAGCAAGAGAGGAGGAATCGGCGCTGCTCTCACTTTCCTGGTCCTGTCCGCACCTCCCTTTAAATTAGCTGAAGTTACTGCTTGCAATATTTTTTGGGGGAAATCAAATCCTTCCCCGCCTCCCCAAAAAGTTTACCAATACACAAGTTTGTGTATCCAGTTGCTGGTTAGTGTTTGAGTGTGTCCTCTGTATATTATTGGGCTCCAATTGTAGCTGCTCATATTCAGATTTCGCTGTTGTGACAGAAGCCTTTGGAATGAGACCATTTTAAGTAAGGCTTTCGGTGTTATTTTTATTCTATTAGTATGTCTGTAGAAGAGGCCAGGTCTCTATTTCTAAGAGTCTGAAATGCTTTCAGGTTATATGGCTGCAAACTTAAGACACACTTGGGGCGGAGGCATCCCACTCAATTCAGAGGGACATCCATAGGGGAAACATGGACCTACACATACAGCTGGAGTCCAATCCTATCCATGTTTCCTCGGATTGATTCCAATCCTAGCATGAATCCCCACTGAATTCCGGATGATAGCAACCAGTGAGGCAAGAATCCTGGATCAAAGTTGGTAGGTAGATTGTTGCTACTGCTACAGGGGTAGAGAGAATCAAGGTAGCAATCCTAAACAGAGCTCCAGAGAATCTGGTGTAGTCGTTTTAATGCTGGAAATCCTCCATAGTTCCCCCAAGGGGTACTTACTTAGGCAAGGTGTGCGCAAAGAGTTGCAGCCTAAAGCCAAGTGTTGTGGCAGAGGGTTTTCTGGGCCGGAGATCCACTTCCTTCTATGCAGATCTAAATTCACACACCAGTTCCAAATCACCCTTTTTAATTTCACCCATCGCACTTGAGTTTCAAGGTTTGCTTATTCTGTTCTGTTGTCGCGTTGAGAGAGGGGGTCCCCGGTGACGAGGAGGATGAGGATTTATTTATACCGCGCCCATCTGGCTCCAAGCGGTGGGATCTCCCATTTTAAACCTGCTTGCTTCCAAAGCCCCCAACTCCTTTTCATGTTTACAACGACTAGGATCCGGAAGCGTCGCTGGCCTCGTTTGGGGCTTCCTTGTTTATAAGCACGTTAAGCGGGGGGGGGGGGGCGTGGGCTTCCAATATCACCAAATGCTTCTCATTACACTCAGTGTCTTAATTCAGTCAATCTGAGGAAAGTCGGCCCTGAAATGAACAGCGCTTGCTTCCAGGTCTAGGGCCAAGGACCGCTAACCACAAGCGAGGAGGAGGCCGTGACCAGCTGCTCCACTCCTCGCCCTCCCCTTTTCTGTGCCAGCTTTCCTGGGCTCGGTACCAAGAAGACCCACCAAAACAACGCCCTCCTTAACAGCACATCATTTTGGACTGCGAGGGTCGTGTGTATGCGTGAACCTGGGTCCCATTTCCCTTTCGTCTGCCCGTTCCAGACATATTCAGCAGAGGAAAGGCCTGCGTCTCCCGTCTAATATCCGCACAATTGGTCCCCTTCTCCAGAATTCAGTTGCATAAAAGGAGACTGTCAAACTCTCCTCTCCGGTGCAAATATACTGTAATTGTACGAGATGGATTCTCAAGTAACGCTGCATTTAGGAGCTGGGCTTTGTTTCAGGGGGGTTCGTTCGGCTCACTCTCGCCTATCAAGACTCGACAACTCAAAGCCTTCCAGCAGAGAGAGGGCAAATAAACAAGAGTTGTGGGGTTTTTTTGAGGGGGGTGTCACAGGGAGAGAAGGGAAATCAGCTGACGCTTCCACGCTCTTGATCCGAACTCCAAACCTCACTTAGGTTGGGTTAATAAAGGCATCGCTCTAATGTGGATTTTGGATTTCTTCTTCTTGTGGGTCAACATGACTACCATTACCTTTTGCGGCGCTTACTTGGGTCTGCCTTCCGAGTAAACTATGAGAGGATCGGGCGACCCACATATTTACTTGGATCGACGTGGCTTATTCAGGGAAATGCGTACCAGGACAGCCTGCGAAGCTTTTGTAAACTGCTTTGGGGGGGGGTGGAGAGAGAGCGCGGGCAGCTGGAAGTGATAGACAGCTCGGGATGAATTGCCTCGTGAGTAAACACCCATAGGATCCGGCTGTTGCGCCCAACACTTGGGCACTTTGATTGTAACCCTAAGCACTTTCTCTAGGGTTTACAGTCCTACACACGTTTACCCGGCAGTAAGACTCGGTGGGGCTTACTTCCGAGTAAGCCAGCTTAAGGTGGCGCCCTTAGACTGGATTCTCCAGTAAGTCCAAATGCTGAGGCGTGAGCGAAGCCCCGGGACATCTAGCCCCGAGCGGGATTCAATCTCACGGATTTGGGGTCCGGCTAAAAGTAGAGGCCGCAGCGTTTGAATGAGATCTCCATATGGCTGACGTGTGTTTTTGTTTAGTTCAGACGTGTTAAAAGGAGCCCGCCTCCGCTCTTGTTTCCCATCTCCTCATCTGCATTTCAAAACTTTAATGGGTGCAGCGGGGTGCCTTGTCCATAGCCTATTTCCCTGCTTAGCCTATTTCCCTGCTTTTTAGAAGACATCTGAAGACAGCCCTGTATAGGGAAGTTCTTAATGTTTGATGTCTTGTCATGTTTTAATTTGTTGGGGCAACCCAGTCAAATGGGCGGCATATAAATAATAAAATTATTATTATTATTATTATTATTATTATTATTATTATTATTATTATTATTATTCCTACTACTACTCCAGGCATAGTCTATCGATTCAGAGCTTCGATTAAAAGACTTCTAGAGATTCAAAGCAATGTCCGGGCTTTTGCTAAGGCTCCGTTCTTTTGCAAAGGTGCAGAAGCGAGAGTGTTTAGCCAGGAGACGAGTTTCAAAGGGACCCACGAGGAAGGAAGCGGGTCATCTGCAGCCCACAAGGATGGTTGGATTATGCCCATCGCAACTGTTCCCTAAGAGACCTTCGTCTCTTATTTTCCACAAGGCGTGTGTGTGTGTCTTCCCCTCCTTCCCCCACAAAATAAGCAACGATCATAAGAGATGGATATCGGGGTTCAGCCTTCTCCACTGTAGGCAACACGCGGCGTAATTGACTTGGAAGATGTACTCAGCGCCTGTGTAATAAAAGATATTCACCTGCTCCGTCTGGCGAGGCATAATAATAAGCACGCGCGTCCTTCTGCCGGGCTGGTTAATGCATAGCACTTCTGGAAAACCCATCTCTCTACGACCTTTATTCTTAATCAAAGGGGCTAGAGAATACGTGGTCACATCGAAACCTCTAGCCAAAGGCATTTCGCTGCAACACCAGAGCGCGGTTGCGTCTCTGGAAATGCTATGGACTTTTTCCTCTCTCTCCCCCACCCCCCCTTTTTCCAGACACACAATACCTGATAATGAGGTCCATTGACTTTCAGGGGATCGATCTCCCTGGGTGCTGCGGGGAGTGTTATAAACAGCTCGCAACTTTTAAGTAATATTATATTGGGCAGTAACGGCGGAGAGAAAGCGCTGGGTCCGGATAGTAGTGGGGAGGGAGAATGGTGTGAGTGGGGCAGCAGGGGGGGGGAGGTCAGGAGGAGCAAGGGTTCATTCATTACAACAGCCTTGTAAAAATACTTTCCCTACTCCAGCCACTACTGCGTTTGTTTCGATGTCAATTTCAAGGCAACAGAGGGGAAAAGCAAAGCTGTTTATTGTCTGGCCGACTCTCAGCTGTTGCCATATCTGGTTTCGGCGGCGGGAATGCGTGTGGGTTTTAATCTTTAGCATCCCTAGCCTGGCATCTTCTGCCCCAGAAGCAGAGACAGGCGTCCTGGAAAACGGCATTCTCTCTGCAAGTCTCGCTCCGCCATCCGCTCAGTGGGGAAGGGGGTGTTTGCTCCCGACCCCCCCAAGCGAATTCAGTCCTCCTCCTCGCCGTCGATTTCTTCCCCAGGGGAAGCTTGCGCTCTTGTTTCGCTGTCCCGCAGCATAGCAAGGACATAGGTAGATTCCGGCGTCAATGGGGGACGCTCTGGCTTTCTTCCCTTCTTCCTGGGGACGCAGGAAATGCCTTTCCTTTTCAAATGCAATTACCTTCCTTTAACAAGCCACGT